TGCAACGCATGGTAATTCTACGCGTACTAATGCAACGTGTGGTAATCCAATGCGTAGTAATCCAACGCGCAGTAATCCAACGCGTAGTAACCCAGCGTGTGAATATCCAACGCGTAGTAATCCAGCGCGTGTCTCTCTAATATTTTTATTTCAATCTATTTGATCAATTTTTCGTTGTTCGATACGATCATTTCAGTCGATGTTAAAAAAAAAAAAGAAAAAAAAAAAGATCTAACGCGTAGTTAACCAACGCGATGGAGACTGCGCTACAGTGCTGGATGCTGGATGATCAATACTGACCACAGTGTCGGATGCTGGATCCCGTAATACGGTTACGAAGAACGTAAGCGGGCATCATGAAAACAGTAACGCATACTTGTACGCCAGAAGCTACCGGTAGGTGATCCTGTTTTAATTTACGATAGGAAGATAAACTTATTATCGCTATAAAACGATCTTTAACAAACGAGGAAACTATTATAGCAAAAATATTTGACCGTTCTCCTTTTCGCGTCTTTTCACAAATTTTATGAGACAGGGTTCGCGTTTCATCACGGAGTTCAGATTCATTTAGTTATGTCCTTTTCATTGATCATAGATGGTTTAATAAAAATGAATGATCTCCAAAACGAGAACATGTCTTGGGAATGTTTTGGAGCAATCGTTTAACCGTCATCCTCGAGTGTAAGACACGCTGTATAGAATATACTAATTTATATCTGTATAAATCATTAATAGCTAATAATCTTTCCCAGTCATTTAAATGCACTGAACATATTACCAGGACCTTTTACGAGAAAGATGAAAGTTCCGTGAATCTGAAGAGTGTAGGAATTTGATGAATCGATTTGTTCCACACGGAAGTGGACATTTAGTGAGTTTGCCCGTGGTCCACTGAAGATAAGGGATGGTAAGTTAGAAAAGGGCGACACATGCTTCTGGGATTTAAAGTGATCGATAATGTTTTCTTGCAAAATTTATCTGGCGATTTCGTTCGATAAAAGAAAAGTGATCGATGGACTTTTTCGATGTTACTTCGATGAAATTTTAATGGAATTTTTGATTGTCTTCTTGTCTTTGCTGGGATTTTGAAATATTTCTGCAAAAGGAAGAGTACTTCCATTAGTATGATAATACATTTTGTATAAAGATTAAAGATTTGTGCAATTTATTGTGTAAATTTATTTTGTACTATTATGTAATACATTTTGTAAGTACATAAAAAGAAATATACAGAGACAAGCACGTCCATTTTGTTAATGATCACCTTACTTTCAATATGGCTGACAAGAGCACTCTAACCTAATACTTAAATACTTGCAATTTAATAAATTTATAAATACTTGAATACTTTCAATAAATTTTCTAAAGCATAAACTTCTATTTTAAACACAAAATGCTTCTATTAAATTTAATCAATTAATAAAATAATTAAATAATTAATCACCAAAACAAATTACTAGAGACATTAAAGTCTCCGTACAACGATACACTGTTCACAATGTATTTCACACTCGACAAAGAAACTGTGGCAAGAACAAGCTCAACAAAGTTCCGCTATAGTAACTGTCGGATCCGCGTACACGCAGAAGCAACTATAATTTTCAATTTAAACCTGCACTGCTCTAATAATCTGCTTAACACTTGCACGAAAGAACCGAGAACACCGCTGTATTTTGCGTGCTCAGAATACACGGTCGAATTAATAATTAAAACCAATATCTGTAGAATTTGAGGATCGCATATGACAGAATCAACAAGTAGTATTACTTTTAATTCTTCTGTGACATATCTCATTTTTTAATTTCAAATATCTTACTACTGATTCTTTTTTTATACTTTTATAATTTTTATGGGGAATATTCAATAATAATTGAAACATATAATAATAATTATTATTTCTATTTGAATCACTTAATTTTTATTTTTCTGTATTACTGCCTGAATCAATTGTTAATTTGCTATCAATAACAGAGTTAAATAAATGCAGTTTCACATTGAAGTTAAATATCTGTTTTGTAACGAGTCAATGATGCCATTAAAATAATTTTTTATATAAATCCCAAAATTCTATCAATGAATTAAATTTCTCATACATCTACTTGAACCACCATTTGATATTGATCCAATTTTAATTTGTTATCACTACTTTTTTAACGAGCTAATTGCAAAAAATATTATTATAAATCATCACAAATCAAAAAATGAATATCCCATGTATCTCCATCCACTAATTGATTAATAATCCTACCAAAAATGATATCATCAATAATATCAAAATAATATCAGTAATAAATATCTTAAGTAGCCAAATAAATCTTGGTAGAGTTAGGCCAGGTCAAAAATGTTTGAACGTCCCATTCGAGTCCATGATACTCGCATGAAGAACTCGTCGATAAACCGGAAATAGTCGTAGCTCGAACGACCGCAACCTCCGTAATATGGGGTAAGTTCGATGCAGTTTCTGTGTGAAAAGAGGGTGGTCTGCTGGCAATGGACCCTCCTTCCGATTAGCCTCGTCATTGGCAAAGTCAGCACCGCTTCGAACAGAATGAGGGTCGCGAGTGCATAATCGATGCACCCTACTGCCTCCTCGTAGGGGTTGACCTTGCCAACTTCAATCGAAAAACGACCTGACATCGATTCGAAAAATTGCGTTCGTCTCTGATAAATACTCCACGTACTTTTTTATTTCTTTTACTAACTATTTTATGATTTTGCAGTTACACTTTTTGGAAATAGACTTCTTATGCTTTTGATGAATTCTATTTCAAGGTTTATTAATAATTCGTATACTACGGTGAGGTTAGTAATAATTCGTATGAGATTTATTTTATTTCTTTTACTAACTATTTTATGATTTTGCAGTTACATTTTTTGGAAATAGACTTCTTATGCTTTTGATGAATTCTATTTCAAGGTTTATTAATAATTCGTATACTACGGTGAGGTTAGTAATAATTCATGTGAGATTGCAAGGTTTTAGGAAATTTGTATGTTATAGGACTTTTAATATTTAATGTTTTTAACTAGTCTTGTGTTATAACGAGGTTCTAAACAATTCGTACATCACAAGACTTTAAATAATACATATATTTCATGTTTTTAGCAAGTTTTATATTGTAGCAAGGTTCTAAACAGCTCGTACATCACAAGACTTTAAATAATACATACTATATTTAATGTTTTTAACAAATTTGATATTGTAGCAAGGTTCTAAGCAATTCGTACATCACAAGACTTTAAATAATACATACATTTAATGTTTTTAACAAGTTTTATATTGTAGCAAGGTTCTAAACAGTGTGTACATTACAAGATTTTAAACAATTCGGACGTTAAAATAAATTTTTTAATTTATTGTGTATTGCAGCAAGGTTTCAGACAATTCGTATGTTACAAGGGTCTAAACAATTTGCATATTATAACATTTTTAATAATATATACATATATTAGAACATTTTTAATAATTTATATAGTAAAACATTTTTAATAATTCATATAGTAATAACATTTTTAATAATTCATGTAGTAATAATATTTTTAATAATTCATGTAGCAATAACATTTTTAATAATTCATGTAGCAATAACATTTTTAATAATTCATGTAGCAATAACATTTTTAATAATTCATGTAGCAATAACATTTTTAATAATTCATGTAGCAATAACATTTTTAATAATTCATGTAGCAATAACATTTTTAATAATTCATGTAGCAATAACATTTTTAATAATTCATGTAGCAATAACATTTTTAATAATTCATGTAGCAATAACATTTTTAATAATTCATGTAGCAATAACATTTTTAATAATTCATGTAGCAATAACATTTTTAATAATTCATGTAGCAATAACATTTTTAATAATTCATGTAGCAATAACATTTTTAATAATTCATGTAGCAATAACATTTTTAATAATTCATGTAGCAATAACATTTTTAATAATTCATGTAGCAATAACATTTTTAATAATTCATGTAGCAATAACATTTTTAATAATTCATGTAGCAATAACATTTTTAATAATTCATGTAGCAATAACATTTTTAATAATTCATGTAGCAATAACATTTTTAATAATTCACGTAGTAATAACATTTATAATAATTCATGTAGTACAACATTTTTAATAATTCATGTAGTAACAACATTTTTAATAATTCATGTAGTACAACATTTTTAATAATTCATGTAGTAACAACATTTTTAATAATTCATGTAGTACAACATTTTTAATAATTCATGTAGCAATAACATTTTTAATAATTCATATAGTACAACATTTTTAACTGTTCATACACTACAACAATTTTACCAAAGAAATAAAGTAACTGATTATTAGCCTCTGTATAGAAGTTCGAATCAGAGAATCTAACAGAAATGGTAAAGTTTGAAATAGTGTTGTATCCAGGTTCGCAGCTCGTAAAGTCCGTGCCGATGAAATTGCGGCATCTTGAAGATTTATTCATGAGACAGCGCTCCTTTATTCGGATTCTGAAGTTCGAATCCCGAAGCGTTGAACAAAAGGGACGACCTCTAGCTCGCCACTTGATACCGTGAAACGAACGGCTGAACTTGTAATGATCAATAGTTGAAGTACAAGTTATTCAAAACCTGAATACCTTTCATTCTCCGAGAGAAATAGGTTGGACGGAATCATCTGTGTTTTCGAGCAAATCTGCCGTAACTGAAATGGCTGTGCCGGAGTCTCGTGACGACTTAATAATTCAATCATTCGTTGTAAAAACAAATTTTTTAAAGAAAAATTGTGTGATTTTCAAGGTTTGGAATTTTGAAGAAGACTACACGTAACGTTGACAAAATTTTTAGTTTAAAACTGTAATAATAAATTGATATAATTCGTTTAAATATGGTTTCCTTGCACCTAAGAACAACCCCCTCCTGTAAATAATATTTTTAATAATATATTTAATTTACTGAAGGAATTTTTAGAACCTAAAAATACACATAGTTACTTTTAGTAGCTGAACCTTTATACAGTTTAGGTTTCAAAGTTACTCTAAACGTAAGTTCATGTTTCTGAAACGTGGATGCAGAAAGTTCTTTATATTCACATTTTGCATTCAAGTTTATACGTGACAGACAATGATTGATTGTAGGATAATTTGAAAAGTTCAGAGAATTGTAGAAGCTTCTTCTATTTTAAAATTTAAATTTTGACGGGGGTTGTCTGACGGTGCTGTCGCCATCTTGCGGTAAGAAGAACTGTCGATATATGAGATTTTTTAGAAATGTAACATTTTATTTAAAATTTTGTAAATGCTTAAATTGTACTAAGACACTATGTCATCGAAAAAACAGATTTGCAATCTTTTGTTATTTTAATAATACAAAAAGGTAATGTTTTAACACTGCAATGTCATTCCCTATATCATCGACCAGGTACAATATAGTGTACGAAATGTTCTGAACATATAATATACATTTTCGGACCTACAGAATACACTACAAGCAGCATAAAATCAATATTAATCAATATATGATAAATACATAGCGTATTAATCAATAAAATCGATAAAAATTGGATTTTTATAAAAATTGAACTGGTGGCGCCATCTCTCCGGCGAACGGGGTGAACTACACACTTTTGAAACACGCCTTTCGTTAGTTCCCATCTTGTGCCGCTAGATGGCGTCGCAGCGATTGGACGGGCTTCTGCGCATGCGCAGAAAGTGGAGCGCCATCTCTCCGGCGAAAGGGGTGAACTACACACTTTTGAAACACGCCTTTCGTTAGTTCCCATCTTGTGCCGCTAGATGGCGACGCGATGATTGGTCGGGCTTCTGCGCATGCGCGAGAAATGGGGCGTCACTAGGGGGCGTAGTCTTATTGGCGCGAAAAAACACGGCCATTATCTAATCACTAAATAAAGCAGTAACCCTTAAGCTAATTAAGATTATTGTATTTTTCTTTCAAAATAACAACTGTTATAATTTTCTAAAGCGAGTAGAACATTCTATGATCTCAATGTAACTGAAAAATGCCATCTTGGTGCACTAAAAGTGTCTGAAAAGAAATTAAAGATAATTGCATTTCATTGATCTATAGATCACTTGTGGGTAAAGTCAATTCCTGTTTTATAACTGTAGATAAAGTCAATTGTTAATTAATTCTCCTTCTATTTATTAACTTTTGTAGCCTGGTATCGTTGTCAAAATACTCTGAAACTTATTAATCTTACTTTTCAATGTAATCCAACGCATATTATCATCTATTAAACCAAAAAAATCAATATCAAGTTTAATTCGATTCGAAACAATACAAGTGTCGCCATCAATTTAAATCTATTATGCACCTTTTCTGTATTATTAGAATAGTCAAGTTCACACGATAATGTAACAATATGAATAAAAAATATATTTGTATGATAAATACTAAAGGCCTACTTAAATTTGGAATATTATATGATTTGGTTATCGGTTTGTTATACAACACACAGATTACTATTAAATAATTGAATGTTTTCTATATAGTATGCATGAAAACTATTCTGAGATTTCAAATTCATTAATTTGTTATCAACTTGAATTTAATAATTGCAAATCATGTATTCGATATCAGTGATTTCTAGATAGGAATATCAATAGTACAAGTAATGTAAATCAGGAACTCTTGAATATTTTTTGATTTATAATAATTGTAAAACATTAATACTTATTAATATATATAGTATATGCATAGATAATATTAAATATGATATTTACAAAATTTTATTTCAGTAGTATATTTACTCGTAGTAATAAATTTAGGTCTGTATGTAAGGTGAAAGAAAAAGGTTCAACATTCTTTTTTAATAAAAATTTACGACTAATATCTTCGTCTAGCGAAGATGCTACATATATTGAAAAGCAAATACAAGAAGTTTTTAAATATAAAAACCGTAATGTCAGTAATTGGATTATCGAGGTTAGTTACATATTTCTTTAAGAACTTATAAATATTATTATTATTTATTTTAAGTATATTTAGTTCGAAATTATGTAATGTATTAATATTAAATTTTATTTCAGAATAAAGCTAATACTTTTTGCCATGAATATCATCAAAGTAAGCTAGCAGATAAACAACGTACATTACGTATATTAGCATCCAAATATGCTGTTCAACATGATACTGTATGCAGCATAGCAGAAAAGCTAATTTGTACAGAGGTTTTATGTCATTAATTTTGCCATTGTCAAGTACTTAATAATATCAAAAAAATACAGATGTTTTCATATCTTATTTCAGTGTGAAAATGAAAGACGGTTGATTTCTTATGAACAAAACTTAAAAAATGCTCTTAGCCCAGATTATAAGTGGCTGTTTGTAATCATAGGAAGACTTGAAAATGGTGTAAAATTTCTTGTTGATTTGCGAACAGATATTTTAGTAAGGAATTTTTGAACTAATATCTTTATGTATCATGTTATACACCAAGGCATGTTACAAATAAGAAACAAGCTTGTATACATGATTCCTATGCTTTTAATCATGAAATTTTAACATTGCACATTTCTTTTGCATGAATGTTTCTGTTAGGAGTTACTATCAGAAATTAAAGAAACAGAGGATAGTATTGCAATACAGCAATTAAACATTACTCTACGGGAATTATTATTACTTTGGTTTTCAGTAGGATTTCTACATTTAGAAAGAGTAACTTGGCAAAGTGCATGTGACTTATTACAAAAGGTATGCATTTGTTATAGTAAACTTAAAAGAATAACACAATAAGTTGACATAGAGGTAATAAGATTTCAGATTATGAAGCAATACATCCTGTAAAAAATTGGTTAGATTTGAAACATAGAGTGGGACCATATAGAAGGTGTTACATATTCACTCATCCATCTATGCCAAGAGAACCTCTTGTTGTATTGCACACAGCATTATGTGATATTATACCAAGTATGAAATTATAACATTTTATAAATATGTTGCATATTTTCACATATAATGTGTATAGAAGTAATTAACTTCTAGGTAGTGTAAAGGGTATTGAAGAAGCAAAGGTCAGAATCCTTGGTGAGTTCAAGAAAGATATAACATTTTCAGAGGAACACAAAACCAAAATAAAGGCTGCAATATTTTATTCAATAACTTCAACACAAAAAGGACTGCAGGTATCTAAATAATTTAAATAATATATTTTGTCAAAGTTATATAGTGAAAACAGAATTATTCAATTTTACTTTTTAGGGTATAGAACTTGGAAATTATTTAATAAAAGAAGTTGTAAAGCAAATAATCTCTGAATTTCCTATGATAGATGAACTATCTAGTTTATCACCAATACCAAATTTTAGAAGTTGGCTTCTTGAAAAGATGAAACAAGGTAATTGTTATTTATTTGTATAAAGTCAAATACAGCTATACTAAATAATTTTAGATTTATACTAAATGCTGTTTTAGACATAAATTTGATTTTTACAAGTGAAGAATATAAGTCTGTACAAACAACTTTAAATGACGAAAATGTTGCATTGTGCTTAAAAAAAATTTTTAATAATTCATTGTGGACCAATGACGTATCATTATGTGAAGTTTTAAAAGTACCATTACTTCGAGCATGTGCATGGTACTTATACAAAGAAAAAAGGCGAAACTACGCTTTGAACAGTGTTGGTATGTTAATTGCTGAAAATTGGTTCCTAATTTTAATGCATAACAAACCTTTGATCTTTTTTTATATTGTAGCTAATTTCCATCTTCGGAACGGAGCTGTTATGTGGAGAATAAACTGGTTAGCTGATCCTTCACCGCGTGGTGTTGCAAATAGTTGTGGCATTATGGTGAACTATAGGTAATGCGATCATTAAAGTAATAAAATATGTTGTAATTTTTTTATATTTTTTAAAGGTACTATTTAGACGAGTGTGAAAAAAATAGTCAAAATTATATTGAAAATTATTTCATAAATGCTTCCGAGAATGTAATTAATCTTACTATGCAGCAAGAAAATTTACAAAATACTGTACAAAAAAAAGGATGTGATAAATAATTGTCTTGCGGGATCAAAACCTCAAGAATTGATAAGAAAAATCGCGAGAGATACAGATATCTGTCTGCAGTGGTCCGCATTTTTCCGTGCGTCCTACAGTATTGTTACAATAACCATTTCTATATCTATATATCCTATACAATTATTTTAAATTGTCTAAAAATAAAACTTGATTGAAGCGATAAAAAATGCTCTGAATAAATTACTATATATATCACCCAAAATAATTCTCCAATACTTTCGATATCATCGATAATATGAGAACATGTTTAATTCCAAATAAATGGATTTATAGAAAATACACATTTTTTTCAATACATAAATAGAGTAAAATAGTAAATTTCTTAAATTTACTTTTGAAAATAAAATTTTTTGCCTAAAAATTGCAAAATTTGCTAAAGATGATCACAACATATTGAGGTTCTTTGGAACCAGCTAAAATATGAAATTTCTTTTTACGACTGCATTTCTAAACCACAATACGTTCTGATCGATTGTTTCGCTCACGAACGTTTTCGAACATGTACATTATAAAGATCCTAACACGCCTTTATAAATGATATCATCAAAAAGTATCTTATTGTTGTATACATAAGCATCTACATATCTCAAATGTATACTATATGTATAAAATTATTTCAACATATTTCCTATTACATATTTATATAGCATACATAAGGCTCGTTCCTATTCTTAACTATAAGTTAATTAAAGAACTTCATTTAATTACTCTTCAAATTTTATATTTTTATTAAAGATTATTAAATTTGTTCATTTATACAATAGCTGTTTCCTGTCCAGCTTAAAGACAACACAATAGTCTGCAAGCAGATCTGAAAAGATATAAATTTTTTATTATATTTACACACTACAGTTAAATTCAATATCTAAAAATTCAATAGAAGTACCTGTAGTCAAGGCTGGGTTTGGTGAAAGTTTGTGGGAAGATGAGGTCTACTTTCTAGTTTCGTATAATCCAAATGAAATTCCTTTGCTACTTTTCTCCAACTCTGTGCATCAAAATAATAATAAGTACCACGTTCGTATGTCGATGTTTTTTCTACAAGACCCAATCCCGGTGCTTGCGTTATCCACACCTTTTCTTCCATATGATATCGCCACTCTCTACTATACCTTTAAAATTAATGCAGACAGTTAGCAAACAGAACAATCATAATATTTTTTATGATTCATCATTCTCATGTCCAATACTTACAACTCTGCCGCGGCCGCTAATTGTAGAACATCCCCAACATTTGTATAAAACATGTAAAATAATAAATCATCCTTATATCGATTTAATTTAACTGGCGCTAATTTATCTCTGAAACAAACATACGTTTGTTATAATAAAATTTGCGATTCAAAAATATATAAATATAACAAAAAAAAATACCTGATGGCGGCATTAATAAGATACTCTGGTGGTACATGAAAATCAATATCCTGAGGTCGGCATGGTGTTTCTGCCCAAGGTCCGCCAAAATTTTGATAAAGATTTTCTGGCGAATTAAGATTTAATCCTAACGCAGTTAGATCTTGACCTAATGCCAGAGATACTAAATTCGGGTCTGTTTCAGCTGCCCTAATAAACGTCAATAATCCAACCATTCCAAATTGATCTTTTACCATACTTGCTGGTATATTAGTCACCTTGCCTAGAAAATAAATATATTCAGTATTAATTATAATACTCGATCGTATTAATAAATACAAATAATTTATTATTATAATAGGTAATACCATCAGGAGATGTTTGTATGCCTCTTTTAGATGACTGAGATTTCTCAGATCCAGGTGCTCTATTCGCTTGTAATACATCTTGTCCAATGTCAGGACCAAGTCCAACAGGTATATTTTTATCACCGGAAACACTTCCACCTGGCGACGGCCCTTCTCTATTTTGTGTTCCTGGTAATGCTGGGAAATCTTCTGAACTCATTGTAAATTCACTTGATTCAGATGTTGGTTGCTTTACCATTCCAACTAAAAATAATACAAATATTTATATACCAAAGATATATACAAAATTAATTTTGTGAACAATATAAATGATTATATACATTTTAAACTTAAATATATATACTTCTTATAATGAAACATAGAAAACAATGTATACATTACATCACACTGACACCTGTTACTTATAATCTACTGAAACCTAATGTTACATCTGTTATGATATTTAAATTATTTTTAATACCATAAGGTTGTTTTCCTGGCATAGGACTAGGTTGTGGCATAGAATCACCCTGCCCTCTGTTTGTTAATGAAGGAAACTCAGATAAATCCAACAATGGAGGAGTACTTGTATCACCACCTCCTCCACTGCCAAAAACAGAGTGAAAATTATTGATTTGAGATCCGTAATTACGACTTTGAGGTATTCCAAAAGTGCCCATGCTACCCATTGGATTTGTTCTGAAAATTTGTAATATATAAAGTATTACTATATAACACAATGTATTGAGCTATAAACAATAATACTGTAATATTAACAACAAATTCTTGTAACTTATTGAAATAAAATGAACTAACCCAAGAGCAGGCATTGTACGTCTATCAGTAAAAGCTCTTTGCCCAAACAGTCCTCTACTGCCCATAGGAGAGAGCTGTTGCTGTTGAGGTTGATGACTATTTTGTCCACCTCCAGTGCCTGATGCTCCAGGGTAAACGTTAGTAACTACTACCGCAGAATTAGCTGAACTTGAAGTGCTTGCAGATGAGCCTGAGAACATGCCCGAAGTAGGTGTGACATGACCCGTGAGGGTCGATGAATTTAAGCCCCCCCCACCACCTGTGCGTGATGTAAGGCTTGCGTTCGCAATACTGCGTGGTGGCTGCTCAAAATTCAAGTTGGCCATAGCCTGGTGGCTCCACTACAAAGTACCTGCTAGGGCACACCAACAGTTTTATGTCAGTTACCACAATCACTTGTTTTCTATTGCATCACTTGTAAGTTGTTCAATTTCATGGAACTGAGGAAAATCCATGACAATATCTCCCCGTAACAACCTGTAAAGATAAAGTAAAGACAAAACTATATGACAGAAGCAACAGATCATTAATTGCTATTAAATAATTACACTAATTTTTAAAGTTTAGCTATACTTGTTTAATTTTTACCTTTTTATCGTAGCACCATAGCAATGGTTATATCAAAATTGAAGACAGGAAATAAGAATGGACCTATCGGCAAGCGAAGATTCTATTTGAGCATTGCTTCAAAAATATGTACTAATATATATATATGAACAATTGCACATAAAACATTCATTCTTATCTATCATCATTCTTTCTAATTAATTAATATGAATAACAAATAAATATGCATTACATTCAACTATAGCATTAAAAAAATTTATATTATTTTCAGTTTTTATTTAAACATCGAAATAACATTTTACATATGTTATGCACAGCTTAATCATTAATATGTACTATTTTTATAAAAATTGATTTTGTAAAAATGTATTTACTTATAAAAATCTAACATACAGAAGTTTTTAAATAACATTATAAACAGCATGATTTATATACGATGAACTGTTTAATACTGAGTAACTTACAAATAAGACATACATATTTTATAAATACTTATAAATTACTTTGGATATAACTTTCGAATATTAATATATTTTTAAATAGACTCATAGAGATGTAAAATTAATTAATAGAGACAGACACTGTGAAAAGAGATCATATACAACTTAACAAAAATAGTTCAATAAGAACCTCTTTTTTGACAATATCGTTAGATCCTTAAAATTACAGCTATGCTTACATTTCTCAGTAAACTTACTATTTCCAGAAAAAACACAGAATGAAAAATCGATGATTTTGACATTGTAAAGATAAAATCAGTCACGAGTACCAAGAAAGCAAAGGTTATAGCATATATGCAATCAGAATATACAAGAAAAAAGTAAACCAAATTTGATTACCTATATTATTGAATCCGTCGTTAAGTTACTGCACAAGAAAACCCACCAAATTCATAATAAACAAAGTAAATGAACGTAAAAAAAAAACACAAAAACGTCGATGTTGTCTTGAAATAATACAAGGAAATGTTGTTTTCAATAAACTGGTAGTTTGTATAGAAAAAAGACTTTTATGTAAAAAGTTTCAAAAGGTCAAACTTTTACACACATTACAATACTTTTAACAATTAGATGTCTCTGTTTTGTCATTCGGTTTCACAGACTTCAATAACACTAGAGACACGACTTTCTGCCATTATAATCATTTGTACCGCAGTATTCAAATGAAACACCGAAATAAATAACAAATACATCACCTAATAAAATGAACAATAGTAACCATTAAAATATTATTTATTTCATCGTGTTACCAAAATCACGTGAATATTCTACGATGTATTTTAATAAACAAGAAAATTTTGATCTTGAATATGACTGCATACTTCATCCCACAAGAGAGTGGATTTTCTAAGATGTCGAATTTGGGTTCCTTTTGCGCAAGATAAGCGAGTTTCGTTCTACACAATCTACGATCTATGACAACACGCATGCGTTCTTATGATGATGCGAGGCCAAAAGCATATACCTAGCGTATTTCTTTTATCGTGCCCTTCATCATATCATCATCGGTTCTTCTTGTTTCTTTATTTTGCCCCACTATGTATATGACCATGAAGGTGAAAGTAAGTTGTAGAGGAGATATTACACTAGTGATCGGAAAGGCTCCGCGATTGAATTTATTGTTACGGTGAAAACTGAGCATTATTCTGGAGCGAAAATGGACCTGTTTTCAGCAAACCAAGTGTTCTGATTTGATATATGTTAAAATCTAATGATTTCAAACTTTCAAAATTCCAAAATCCTAAAATCCAAAAGTTCTCTGACTTCACGAATCTTGAAGCCTGAAAATCGCAAGGTTCCAAGGTCACAAAATTGCAAAAATCTGAACTGCCAACGTTTCAAAATTGGAACTCCTAAGGTCTAAAAATTTTAGAAATATTATTATTATATTTTTGTTTGTTTACAGATAAAATTACTTTTACGTTGAATCAAATTTTTCATTTTTAATTAGAGGTGCCACAAGTTTTCGCTAAATTTCCGAAATGTTGCAAGTGATATTATTTATATAAATATTGAACATTTTTACTATTATTCTGGATTAAATAGATATATAAACGCTTTTTAAAAATATATTAAAAATATATTCCGTCTAATTTTAGCAATCCTGTAGATATTTCGCTTGACATAGTTAACTTGTTCTATATAGGAGCACATGGTTCGTGGTTTAGTAAAAGTTTTGTGATAGAGTTTTATAAATATTTTGTACTTGAGTAGAATTAAATTTTAACAATTTAGACCGATCATTTATGAACTTATCAGTAAGTTAAAAGTTGTTTGCTATCGGAAGTAGAAAGAACAAACAAAGATTATTGCAATTCAGTAAAAAATGGCATTAATTAGAAGAGCAACTCATGCTGGTAGTTGGTACGCAGGTTCTGGTAAGTAATATTTAAAATATATTTTTAATTCGTTTAATATTTTAATGACATTTATTATAACTTTTTTATCGTTGTTCATTAATGGTTATCACATTTTTTGACTACATACATATCATAATTACGTATTCAATGGTATTTACTTATGATAATAACCATAAATAATGTGACAAATGAAACATATGTATTCAATGTTTTTATAACACAATGGTTAATCAACTTTCATATGTTTATGATAACAATTAATTCTAATTGTTCCTAATGTTACATATTATTATTTTATTCATTTTGTAAGGCAATACATATTTCAATTTATTATGTACTCAAAGTTTTTCTATTTTTATTATTTCAAGCACATAAAAGTTAATAGAAACCAGAGATTTTAAACATTTTTATAAATTATTAGAAGAGTAAATTGTACATATTTTTTATTCATTGTGTTTTAAATATGTATATATGAAGGTTTTTACTATTATTGGTATTATTTTAAATTGTAAGTATGTTTTTCTCAAATTTTAAATTACATCTTTATGGAATTTATATGTACCGTGATCATAATATGATATTAAATCCATTGCATGGGTTAAGATAATTTTGGGCTTGGTACTTGCTTCAAAATATAAGTCAGAGCAATAACATTATGTTTGGATTTATACAACTATATGAGAGGAGTAATGATGCAGAATTAGAACACACAATTCAAAATAGAACTAAAGAAAAAATAAATATTTTAGTAGTTATTAATATTATATATTGTTTTATACAGGTTTGGAGTTAAATAAACAATTAGAAGGTTGGTTGGGTGCAGCAGACTTATCACATGGACCTGCTAGGGCAATTATTTCTCCGTCAGTAATTATAGTAGATTAAAATAATTTTGATTAGGTTAACAAATCTTTATTGAAATACAAACAAAATTTCGCAGACATGCGGGTTACAGCTATTGTGGAGCATGTGCTGGTTTTGCATACCGTCAGATTAGTCCTGTAGTTGTGTAAGTTTTTAAAATAATGGTTCCAAATTTATGAATATTAAACTAAATTATTATTCAGTATATTGATAATCTTTAAATGATGTAATTTTATATCTAAATAATTGTATGTAAAAGTGAAGCAATTTTAGGTAGCTAAATTTTTATTTTTGAGCCATAAAATTATACATGTATATTATCATTATATAGGCGCAGAATTTTTATTCTTGGTCCTTCGCATCATGTGAGATTAGCAGGCTGTGCTCTTTCTTCTGCTTCAATTTATCAAACCCCACTGTATGATCTACATGTTGATCAGCAAGGTACAAAGTATATAATAAATTTAAATAAAGTTTTTTTATTATTCAAAACATAATAAATAAAATATAGATACAGAATGCTATCTAAGATTAGTTAAAATATAGATTTCTGTTTATGTAATAGTATGCAGAGAACTTGAAGAAAGTGGGCATTTTGAATGGATGGATTTAAACACAGATGAAGAAGAACATAGCATTGAAATGCAATTACCATTTATTGCAAAAGTTATGGAAGGGTGTGTTAATTACTATTTGGATAATAATCCTGTCTGAATATTTACTTATTACAAAATTTCAAACATCTTTTTTATGTTAATATAGGTTTAAAGATTCTTTTACTATAATTCCTATATTGGTGGGTTCATTGAGTCCAGAAAGAGAAGCATTTTATGGAAGATTATTAGCACCATACATGGCTGACCCACAAACATTGTTTGTTATTTCTTCAGATTTCTGTCATTGGGGACAACGTTTTCGTTATACATATTATGATAGATCTTGTGGTCCAATTCATAGATCAATTCAGAATCTTGATAAAATGGTATGTGTACTTAAACAACACTGTTTATTATTAAACATCTTGCTTATGAAATAAGTAACTTTTTCTGAAATAAGTAACATATTTATTTCTGATTATCAAAAAATTTGTATACCATTCACACAGTATGTCTAGTTTAAGGGTATGTGCATTGTTCATTCTTTAACTATTAAAAATATAAAAAAATATTACGTATAAAAATTTGTCCATCCCGTGGAGAAAACGTAATAAGAATATCTAATTTTTTTTAATCATTATGTTCGAAAATATTAGCCTCACAATTATTGTTTGATAGTAAATTATTTCTACATAAATTAAGCTTATATTAAATTGCTACAAAACGCTGTTGTTACACGCTTACAGGGTTTAGACCAGGTCTGTCCAGCGTAGGGGCCCTACACGCGCCAGCTTCCCCTTCCAACCGTATTTTCGCGCAGCACGCCTTCATCATCAAGAAAACCGCGCGACGCTAAGGAGACGATCATGACAGGCTAAAGTTTTCGTAGCGAGGTTTTGTCACAGTACCATGATAAGAAGGGACAATAATGGGGACAGTGTTTGTCTATTGTAAGACAACTTTGGACAGGCCTGGTTTAGATTGCAATCAGGCCGGCATATAGATAGGCTAAGAAACTCGATTAAGTGACCAAATTCAGCTAATGAAAGGTGAAATTGTCGATTGAAGGCATGTTAACTTTTATGACAAATCTCAATTTTAGCAGTCGCTTGTTATTTATTAAAAATTTATAAAAGAAAACAAACCTCTGATGTACCTGTATAAATAATAACTATCAAAAATTGGATATTCTTTTTTTCCATTGAGCCAATCAACTTTGTGGAATTATTTTTATATTTTTAATAATTAAATACATACTAGTATATGTACACACAAACTGGACATACTATGTACAGGGTGTACAACAATATTATAGTAAAACTTAAGTGTTCTGTATATAATTATATATCATTTTTCAAAATGTTTTATAAATTTATGTAAATTTTATTCATAAACATAGGGTATGGACATCATAGAAACCTTAAATCCTGCTATGTTTACGGATTATCTTAAAAAGTATGGCAATACAATATGTGGTCGACATCCTATCAGTGTTTTATTGCAGGTAACATTTTATTTATCAAATACATGTTTAATATTAGTTAATAATATGGTTTTTAAATCATGATTCATATTTTAACAGATAATTCATAACTTAAAAGGGAACACTAATGGTCAAAGAATGAACTTAAAGTTTCTTAAATATGCTCAAAGCAATCAGTGCAATAACATGAGTGATAGCTCTGTTAGTTATGCCAGTGCTTCCTTGGTTGTTGAGTGATAAAATATGGAATTTTAATGTTACTATTATCATTCAAAGAATTTACAGTAAGAAAAAGATCTTAAAATACGAAAAATATATTAAGATCTTTCCAGATTTTGTTTCATATTTATGGAAACTAATAACACTTAAATTAAGTTGCAATTTATTATATTGCATGAAATTTTTTTCTTAATTATTTGGAAAAGGTATCGATATTTATAATGAATGTGACAAATAGAAACATATTATTATCAAATTGTTTTATTTAAAAATATTTCGGTATATTACTTATAAGAAATCAGTACTTCCAGATTTTCATTATGGAAGGAGCTTAAATGTTTCTTTGCTTTGGTGTTTAGTATTGCAGTTCCAGAAGTACCATATAGTGCATTTCATAAATATTGAATACTTTTTACGTGTGCAGAAAGTTCATCTATTGACGGAAAAGGAATTTTTCATAAATTAATAACTGTCCAAATAACTTTACTACAATTTTAAAAATTGTGAGAACTAGGAAAATATTTTACGTCGATATTATTAATTTAATATTGTAATAAGATAAATTGGCGAAACAATAAGAAGGGTAACAATATTTTGTTGATAAAATATTAAAATCCCAAGATACTTATAGTTTAAGGCTTTAATATATAATTCAATCGGGTCAAAAATCGTGGGGTACGTTAAAAAGAAAGTTTATCTATTATTTGCCGAAGTTCATTAGTAAATAATAAATAAAGTGACAGATAACAAATTATTACAATCATTTGTTTGCAACAATTAGGGATAATTTCGATCATCAATGTAACCGTTTACATTGTATTTTATTACTTTTATTATACTGTCAGGGAATTATAATGAAATTAAACTTGAACTATAACTACAATGAACTCTAAATGTTTTAATTTTTAGTTATTAATAACTAATATTTACTTCCCATTACTAGGACAATAATAATAAGAAAATATTTTGACACAGATTGCATTGTTTCTCTCAGGGATATGTATAGACTTAATGAAACTAAAAATTTAGGATTGAAATTTATTTCTTTTGTGTCATTAGTGTGAACAATCTGCATCAAACAATATTAAATGAAATACCATTACAGAAATAAGAGTGTACATCTTAATCATGTCCTATTTAAAACAAAGCAATGAAATGATCTCATATCCTTCCTAGCCTACATCTTGTTATTTACAATTAGCATAAGAAATTAAAAATACAAAAATTATATTGTTACAATGCCGTAACATAAGTGTGAAGGATCGGCATGGAAAGATGTGTATAAAATACTTCAAGTTATTACTGATATTCTTTTACTCTTAATAAGGTATTAAGTGTTACGATAGAGCATTTTTGTATTGTGATTTATGAATGTGTAATCTATAAAACTCATTTTGTAATAAAATTAACTAACAATTATTATGTGTCATATATTATCTATTTATTCTTTTTAACATTTTTATGTTTTTGTTCGTGAGTTACAGAAAATTATAAAATTCACGCTTCAACAATTTTCTATTTTTATATACAAAGTTAATAAATAATATTTATATTTATATGAAAGATACAAAATAATTAAATATGCTTTTATTAACATTATATTCATAACCGTATAATAAATAACAAAAATATATACAGATGTATATAGATTTATATGTACTTTCAAAAAATAAACATTTAAACGTTACATTAAGTAAGGATATATCTAGTTATGAAAATAATTCTGTAAATATTAACGAAATATTATTAATATTAAAATATTTTATATGTGTTTATTGTTTTAAAGGAAATACATTTTTCCTGCACATATATTATCAGTCTTTATTTAGTTATATTAGGGTACTATATTTATTTGTATATCATACTGTTGATCTAATCCTATGTAGCAATCGGACATTAAGTAGAATGTCAATAATGTTTTTCCTTAAAAAAGTAAGTTATTTATTAAAAATGAAAGCAATTTTATAATAATAAAATAAAGTAAAATTACCTAATTCTGATGGCGCTGTAAATTGTAATTGATGACATCTTCGTTCTGTGTTTATTCCACATATTCGTTTCAGAGCCAATAATTCTTTATCATAAGTACTACCTAAAACTATAAACCAACCTTCGTCCTTTCCTTTCTGAAACATCGGGCAGTGTGCTTTTAAATTATTGGATTTGTTTTTTCTTTTCATTCCAACGTGTAATATATAATCTTGATCTTTATGAACGTTTATACAATTAAAAGTATTAGATTGTAATGGAATAGACTTTGGTTTAACATCAGCGAACTCATAACCTGCTAAACTTAAATCAATGCAGAGTATTGGCATTTCTCTTATTGCTTGATGTATCTGTAAACATTAATTATCATTACATCATTTAATCTTTATATTTATTGACTTATTATAGAATATATTTAAAAACTTTATTATCAACATATAAAATATTATACATATATGTTCATAACAAAACATGAAAGTAATCTATGATGCCAAAATCCATGTACTTACCTGATATATCTCTTCTAGTTGGAAATCTTCACGAAGCGCTTGCACAAGTAAATTAAAATTATTGTACGTAGTATCACACAACATTGGAAGAACTGGTGATAATTTTGAGAACAGTTGTAAATGTTCCGAATTTATGTGTGGTAATGTAGTTATTGCCGGTTCGTCAATCCATCTGGCTTGAATAATCATTTGAAGTAACTGTATTATTGTAAGCGTACTCGCTAACCACCCACGGTCTGCAACAGTATCTATCATTGCCTGAAATCACGTACATATTAAATTCACAATGTACTATTAAATTTGAATTATACACAAGTGCATATAAAAACATACAGTGATCCATACATTTGTTCGCATGAGAGAAAAAAATTATATTATGACTCTTAAAAATTTGAAGTATGTGAACAAATATGTGAGTGACTGTGTATTTCAATTATAAAACCATACCTGTATGATTCTGATTGCTTGATCTAGTACTGATTTCAGATCTGTAATATAGTCTGCACAAGGTAAAGGTAGCCGTGAGAAATGTGCTTGCAGTAATAGAAATGCTTTGGTATAGGGAGAATCGTACGTATAGTTATTTACTGAATAGCGACACATTTTACTTAATTCTCTGTTTAAAAATAATTAGTTCATCAATTAAAATAAAGAACGATTTTAAAATATAAGTACACGCAAAACTTACTCATTTAATAACTCTTCATTATGTCTGACTGGTAATTCATTATACTCATAAGAGTCACTTAAAATGTGTAGACACTGCTCTAAGGAAACGGATTCTTGCAGTGATTGTTCAAACATAAGCATAGTTTGGTATGATAAGTAATAAAATGATGCTATTTTACCCATTGGGAGAGGAACTAACATTTGATTTTCCTAAAAGTAATATCAAAATGAATTAATTCAATATCTATTAAAAAAATTAGCAACTTAATTTTACACACCTCATCAAAGTCAGTACACTGTGAATCCATTAATACTTTTAGTGTACTATTTACCAAAGAAGATAAATATTGATTAATTGTATTGGGGTTTAAATCATTTAGTTTATAATATTGAGGATTTTTCAATAACCTCCTAAAGAAATATGTCCATGTAAAATAATCTAACAGTTCTTGTTTATTTTTAATTGTACCAGCGACAATTTCAGCATTTATATGATCTGGTAAAACTGCTAATAAACTTGATTCTACTGGGAATGGCTCATGCAGAAAGTTTTTATAAAAACTTTTCTTTAAATTGTGAACCAATACTACTGCCACCCCAGAATTATCAAACTGAGGTCTGCCTGCACGGCCCATCATTTGTAGTACATCTGTAATTGGCATATCTACATAACGTTTCGTTTTACCATCATAATATTCCGTTCCTTTTATTACTACCAAATGTGCAGGGAAATTTACACCCCATGCTAAAGTAGCTGTAGTAATTAATACCTACAAGTAATTGTATAAAGATTATTTGAACAAATGAAATTATTATTAATGATTTTCAATACATACCTGAATTCTATTATTAACAAATAATTCTTCAACAGTTTTTCTATCTTTATCTTGAAGTCCAGCATGATGAAGTCCAATTCCAAAAGCAAGTGTAAGTTTTAAATTTGAATCCTTTATCTGATCTAAGATGCTGTCCATCTCTTCATCAGGCATATGTAACCATTGTTTAGGGTTATCTTCTGCTGCAAGGTATGCAATTAAATTTAATGCAGTTAATCTTGTTTGTCTACGTGATGACACAAACACCAGAGATGGACTGGTAGGTGCATGTTGCCTGATTGCTTGGAAAGTTGGTCTGTTCATCGTTGCCATTCGGGGACAATAATGTTTTCCAGGGAATCCATTAATATGAATTTCCAATGGTACAGGCCGTACAGATGGACGAAAATTGTATAAACCCATTTCTTTAATACCAAGCCAATTTGCAAGATCTACTGCATTGGCTAATGCTGTCGAGAGTCCAACAATTCTCACAGGCTTCAAAGTGTGGGATGAAATAAAATTTGTTCGTGAAATAATAACTTCCAATACCGGACCACGGTCTTCTCCTAGTAGATGAATTTCATCTATAATTATAAGTGCAACATTCTTTACGTAAGTTCTTGTTTGCCAACTTCTACTAATACCATCCCACTTTTCTGGTGTGGTCACAATAACATTTGCACTCGAAATAACTTTAATGTCTGGTGTTACATCTCCAGTTAATTCTACTACTTTTTTGCCCAACTTTCCCTCCAATCTAACTTTCCAGTCTTTTATTCGTTCCCTAACTAAAGCTTTCAACGGTGCAATATAAACGGCCTTCTGTGTGGGATATTGTTTGAATACTCTTAACATAGCAATTTCTGCAGCAATTGTTTTTCCTGAACCAGTTGGAGCTCCTAAAAGCACGTTGTTATCTGTATGATACAAACAGTGAAAAATTTGTGTTTGTATTGGATTGAAGTGGGAAAATTTATAAAGTTGCTCAAACGATATTTCTTTTAATGCTTTTACTGGCAATGGTTGTAATTGTAACAAATCAGTATATGGCGGGTATATTTCAGGTAAAATTAGATCATGAAATGTTAAAGGTATCATGTTTGCACAATTTAACCAATGATCACTTGTTGCTCTTACTATGTATTGACTAGGTAATGGTTCATGCAATGGTATAGTCATTACAAGTTCTTGCGTAAGATTATTGTAAACCATTTTTCTCGTCATAATGAAATATTCATGATGATAAATAAAATCATTATCCGGATCTTCTATCCATATCCAAAAGGATTCTGAAGTTTTACCATGAATTTTGTCATTCCAACGAAATTGTGGATTTATTTGCAAACGTATTCTTAAAACAGTACGAGTAATGGGTTGTACAGTTGCTTCCATTTCTAATGCAGGTAACTCTTCACAACATTTTTTTACTAATGCTGCTACTTTATGGTTATGCAAAATATCTGCAATTTCTTTGACATTCATATCATTCAATCTCTCAAGTGTTAACTCAAAAGTATTTATTTTATCAATGATTTCTGAAGGTAAACAAGAGAATTGACATAGTGGAGTCATAAAATTCCACTGTTGCACTTCAAACATTTTTGCCATATCTAATAATCGTCCAGCCATTATTGCACTATTCTTTTCTATCATAATTTTAAATAATGCTCTGCATATTCGTACTGCATTTTGTATAATATATGCTTGGTCTGATATTAATGAAAATGAATTAACCAGACCATGTGATAACCATGTTTGCAATAAAATATTTATTTTATCATATACCTGCATGTTGTCAGCATTACAATAAACTATAAGTTCACAATATTTTAACTTTAAATCTTCTAGTTCCTGAATTTCATCCTCTCGAACTTTTAATTGTTCAAATTCCTGAGCATGAGATATCATTGCAAGTATTTCTGCTTCGTTCATGATCGGTTTCATTAACTCATTAAAAATTTCAACAGTATCATATTTAAGATAAAAGTGACTTGCAATGCGTCCTAGTTCTGTTGCACTAAGATCTCCAGTACTTATATTATATCGAATCATTTTAGCTTTATCTAATGCTTTAGCTGCTTCATCAATCAATTCTTTTCGTTTTCTTTCCAAATTTGGATCTTCTGATGTATGAGCAATTCCGTACACTTTATAATTTAGTTTCATGCGAACAAATAAATAAGTATAACTTAACCATTTTATGGCTTCCTCTACATTTGATATTGTACCTAATGCTATTTCAGCATTCAGATTATCAGCTAAATACCTAATAAAATTACTTTCAATAGGAATTTGATTGGTTAATAGTGATAAGTAATGATACAACTTATTGTGAGTAGTAATAATAATAGCATGTCCAGATGTATCGAATTGTGGTCTACCGGCTCGACCAAAAATTTGTAAAACATCCAATATATCTAAATCAATGAATGATCCGTGCTTCGAATCATATATTTCTGTTCCTCTTATAATAACTGCATGTGCAGGTAAATTCACACCCCATGCTAACGTTGATGTACATACCAATACTTTAATTAATCCTTCTGAAAAATATTTTTCAACTAAGTTTCTTTCTGAACGTAATAAACCAGCATGGTGTATAGATAATCCATTGTTAAACAGTTCAGTTAAATGTTTATTACGCGATTTAGCAAAAGGTTTGTTCACAAATTTTGCATGGCCCTCAGGTATAAACAAATTGAGTGTTTTGTTTTGCTGCGCTAAATCTTTTAATACATTTGCCACTTTAACAGTAGCATTGCGTGCGTGTACGAATACCATTACTTGATGTCCTTTACGCACCATGTCTATAACTTTATCGTAACATATACGATCCATTTGATTTGTTTGTTGTAATGGTGAAGCTCCTTTTACACCGATAAATGTTTGACTAAGTGGCACCGGTCGGAATCGATGATCGAAATAAAAAAGTCCCACAAAAGGATTCACTCTTAAAAATCTTGCAACGTCGTCATAATTTGGTAAAGTTGCTGAAAGACCAACAATTCTGATCATATTTTGTGAAGATTCTACTTGTCTTAAAGTTCGAGCCACCAATGCTTCTACGACAGGCCCTCTGTCTCCATGTAATAAATGTACTTCATCGATAATTAGTAATTTTACGATACTGGTGAGAGAAATATCTCCGGTGCCTTTCCTAGTAAGAACGTCCCATTTTTCTGGCGTAGTAACAATCATTTGTGTTTGTTGAATTTCTGATTTAGTTAATTGCATATCTCCGGTTAATTCACGAACTGCTATACCAAGGGATTTTAATCTATTGCCGAAATTTGCAGTCATTTCTGCTGCTAAAGCTTTCATAGGTGTCACATAAATTATTTTGAACTGATCTTTCATTAATTGGCCATGTTCAATATGTTGTTTTAATTGATGTACAACAGTTAACATAGCAACATTTGTCTTTCCAGCTCCAGTTGGTGCACAAATTAATAAATTCTCATTGGTATGATATGCTGCATTAAATACTATACTTTGTACTCGATTTAATGATTTTATACCATTAAAAGCCATTTGCCCAATATCATCTAACGTAGATATCATAACAGGATCATAGTCAACGTCAATTGGTTGTGCTTCTGGAATAGGTATATGAAATTCCTCATACTGTTGTGTATCTTTTCTCTGAACAGTTTGTGGTAACGTTATTCTTTGTCCTGATATAGAACAAGGATTTCCACTAGATACATTGGAGTCAAATACATTTGGAAAATTAGGTTTATCTGGAGCAATATCTTTTTTCAATATAGGCATGTGCATTTCTATCAATGCTTCTCTTTGTTTTAAATGCAAGTCACGTGACTCTAAGCCGTTTCCTTCTAAATTACCTTTTCCATCACGCTTATTTGATATCTTAATAATTCTTTTAGTCTCTTTTTGTATTTGTTTTTTTAATACTTTTTCTTTTTCAGATTGTACAATTACTTGACAACCAATTACCGGGCTATCTGCATTAGATTGATTCTTTATTTTTAAACCAGTATTTAAAGCTTTAATACTGTTTTGATTTTGTATAATATATTGTATAAGTTCTATATGTTCAATGCCTAAAAATTCAAATAACTCATGTTGCAAGTTTTTAGAATTCTTTAATTTATTAAGTATAACTGTTTCAAATTGGTCAAAAGTCATATCTGAAAAATACCTCAGGTAACATGAATTCAATTTTTGTTTGTATACTGCTTTATCAAACTGAAACAAAATAACAATTATGATTAAAATAATTTTAAAAGTAAAAATAAAACTAGATAAATTTAATACAAACTTTCATTTTGAGTGGGTTTGAAATTTCATTTTCATATTTCATTGTAAAGTCAGTGCCTTGAATTATATTTTTTGAAGACATATTATGGAGCTTTGCGGTGTCTGGCCATAGTACCCTTGGAGACTTACATACAAATTTTTTACCAAATAAATCGGTTCCCGATATTTCAATGTTATTAACATTTTCCTTTTCGCCTTTTAAAAGCATTAAAGTACTTTCATTTATTTGTTCACGAATTTTGATAATTATCTGTAAAAGAAATGTTAAAATTTGCAACTTTTGAACCTAAATAAATGACACTTTACTTTAACAAAGGATAGTTCATAAATTTTTATAGATTAACTCAGTATAAATTAAATTGTTATATATACCTTCATTATGGCATTAGCATCTCCATATGTTAAATTTGCATTTTTTTCTTTCAAGAGTTCAAACTTTGTTTTAGATAATAGATTTTCATCAATCAATAAACTTAAAGCAAACATTATAAATTCATTGATCAGCTCAAGAGGACACTCCTCTAAAATAATAAAAAATAAATAATATATTTATATTTTGTCATTGTAAGTTAATACATACCAAACGACTGTTCAATAATTTTACGTAATTCATTAAGATAAGATTGGACATCTTTGGATACAGTTTGATATAAATCATTCCAGGTAAATTCACTGTATTTAAAAAAAAATCATTAAGTAATAACAAAAATAAATTAATTATACAAGTAAGTTACAAAATATTAAATAAAATAATACCTCTGTAATTTAATTTGTTCCTTTTGCTTTTTAAATAAATCATTTGGTTTTAATTCAATTGTACTTTTAATACGACCAAGATTTGTAAACATTCGCAATGATCTTGTAATACGTGGTAATTCTGGCATTTTTGAAGTAAGTTTGTGCGCCTTATCTAGAATATATATTTATTTAGAAAAAATAATTTGATATTTAAAATAAAAGATTCATTCTAATTATTCGAAAAGTTTAAAGTTACTTATATGAATATATTTTCTTTACATGTTAAATCATATTAATTTTAAAATATAACTTGTTAGATATTTGTACTACTGTAACTGTAACTTTCTGATGTATCACATCATTCTATTATAACAACATCTAATACGAAGTTTCATATTTATACAAAAAGAAAAATAAATGACAACTAGAAAATCATTCGGCTTTTGTATTTTCAGTTTCAAAATATAAATACAAATAGATATGTTTAATTTTCGTAACGAAGAAAGTACATTTAATGTATAAACCTATAATGGTCAAAATTAAAAAGCTAAATTTTATTTCAGGGCACCAAAAATCGTATGAATATTACGTTCAATATGAATTTTTAATAAAATTCATTGTTACCATATATTGCATCACGTTTCACACTTGTCACCTGCACTCTGCTTTAGAATGCTATATCGCATACATACAACGTGTGCATATATGACGTTAAACAATCGAATCAACTTGGCAACATATTTGGCAAAACTAACCAGAATTCTATGTATATATATAATAAAAAGATAATGTGAATTTAAAAATCTACGTGTATTAGTCTGTCCACAAAAGAGGAACTTTTACTCATTCTGCGCATATTAGTTCGGATTGGTTCAAAAGTTCGCTTCGTAACTAAGAGCAACACGCATGTGCGTTTAAATTTTATAGGATCATATATATTCGGTGACCTTTTATTTTGTACATTTTATATCAAGCATGATCCGGAGCATACACATACTTGTGTCAAAGTTTGAAGTCATATTTAAAAATTTAAGAAGTTGAGAATTCAATAATTTAGAGCGCTTAAGAATTTAAAATTTATTTGAGGATTTATATATTTAACAATTTGGGAACCTGGAAATTTTGACAATTTATGAATTCAGAACACCGAGTATACATACTCAGAATTAATGGCACATGCGTACTCGTTTCGGCTAAAAAGCATGCTTGAAGCAATCAGGGTTGGCATGCATAGAAGGAAGAAAATTCGTCGTATGACGAGAACTGGGGTTTAGAGTTCAGTGATTCTCATCGCGGGAAAATGCATTTCCTTTGCGCATCTCGACTGAGTTCAAAGGGTTTATTACCACCAGTGTGGTGCCGATCTATTGCTTGCTTCTCACTTTGTGGGTATATATACAGCGAACAAAAAATATTCGAAATACGAAAAGAAGCGATAATGTAAAAGAGTGTACCAAATAAATGACCACCAGATATGTGGCTCAGAGTCACGAATATCGCAACTGCGCATGCGCAGTACCCTTACTTATAAAGAATATTAAAACCAATCGACAGCAACATGCGCAGAATAAGTGAAAACTCGTGTTCCGGCACATCTCTCAGAACAGCATATGTATATGTTGTATTGTTGCTAGTGATTATTATTTTTATATAGTATCAATACTGTATTTACGAAAAAGATTTCGTTGCTACTTCATTGTAAAGGGACTTTTTCTGTTATATACTGAAAAACGAAGAATATATCTTTGTTACTGTGTTTTCGTGTAAAAGTTTTAACAGTATATTATACAGGATAAGTTATAACGAATGAATGTTTCGTGTATGGAATGATACTATTAGTGCATCATTTGGTAAGGTTACGTCGCCACAAATGACAGTAGTGTTTAATCAAATACAAATTCGAATTGGAAGTCATGTAAATGTTCAGAAAACCTGGGATCGTAGTATTTTGTCAATTTTTACTGCCACAATATAGAATATAAATATCTTGTAACAATTTATGAATGAGGATAAAGCAAGATATTTTGCGGTGGGTCTTTACTGGGGTTATCCTGACCCAAGTAGACCGAAAATCCGCCTTAATAATAAGGTAAAAAATATATTTAATTCATTTATTTTTATGTATTGGATATTCCCTTTATATTGAAGCCAAATATTGCATTTTCAAATACTTGTTTATAATATTATTTTATTACTATTTTTTATTTCTAATATTTGTTAAAAATATCTTTGTTTGAGTTATAAATACTTAAATACTTTTATCAATAATTATTCGTAGCAAAGCTACTAATTGAATATACATAAAATTTAAGATGTTTATAAGTTAACACAAGCTATTTTTTATTCAAATTTATTACTTACAGCTTTTAACACTTGGACAATAATGTATTTTTAATTTGAATTTCACCAGGTTTTGCCATAAAATTATATAGTAATAAAATGTAATAACAGCTTATGTAAAAAACATTTTTGAGACAAGTATAATATATTAAAGTTTAATTGCAAATTTAAAAAATAAAGTGATACCTGATGATATTTTTAAATATATAGTGTATTTAATGACACTTAGACGATGTATTTTTATAGAGTTTTAAAGAATATACTATTTGCATATTAAAAACAGAATAAATTTATGATATCTATGTATTTAGTTACATTGTATCGTTCTTATTGTTTAGCTTTTGATCAAGACTGCCAATGTAAGACTGAACTTCTGATGCATGGAATAATTGTCTTTAATAATAAATATAGACAGCATCAATGGGAAACTGTTTTTCGTGCTTTAAGGTGCCTATTCCACCAGTCACCACTAATCAGTCCACATCACCAGATTATAAAGACGGTAATAATTATAATTATTTATCTAATTCATTATAACCTTCATTATCATTTTTTTTTTTAAACTCTTTTCATTTATAAGTTTGTGTATGTATTGTTATGTATAAATAAATGTTCACAACAATGAGAAACAAATTGTTTTTGTTATTTTTCACATTTTAGTTGTACTTTATCTTTTCATATTTTATGCAAAACTAATTATGGAATCATATTTAATATTTATTTGCTTTTTATAATAGTCAATATCTCTTATAATTATTGTAGAAACAATGGAACTTAGAGGTTTGTGTTCAAATACTTGTCAACAAACTGGGCCTTTAGTGCCTGAAACACATATAAATGGCAACCGAAAATCATTAGCCACATTATCAGCATTCAACAATGTAGGATCTGATAATTGTGGATCTATGCCTAATGTACAAAATAATTTACGTTCATCTCGAGGATTTTATGCACGATTACCACCATTGGGTAGATCTGGAACATCATCTGGTTTTAATGTAACTGTTGAATCAAAACAACAAAGGGAGCCATCAGAAAATAAATTAAATATATTATTTGATCAATACAAGGTGAAAAATGAATTTATTTTTTATTATATTTACTTATAAATCATACATTTAGTATTAAACTTACAATGTTATTTTATTTAAACAGTATAATTTATATTTAGAGATATTTATTTCTTAATGTAGATTTTTGTTTTTTTATTTATAGGATTCACACGAAGATGTAATTTTAGCTGATGGTATAGAGAGATTTTGTAATGATTTACAACTATCACCAGATGAATTCAAAGTACTTGTTCTTGCTTGGAAATTAAATGCTGAACAGATGTGCCAATTTACACGTCAAGAATTTGTGACGGGGTTGAAAGCAATGAAAGTAGATAGTATACATGCTATACAAATGAAATTACCAGAAATTGTTCAAGAGTTAACTGTTAACAGTGATTTATTCAAAGATCTCTATCGATTTACATTCCAGTTTGGTTTAGATGTTAATTCTGGTCAAAGAATATTACCAGCCGATATGGCAATTGTTTTATGGAAGTTAGTTTTTACCATACGTGAACCACCTCTTTTGTCAAGATGGCTTAAATTTCTTGAGTGCCATCATGTTAGAGGCATACCTAGAGATACATGGAATATGTTTTTAAATTTTGCTGAAAGCATTGGTGATGATCTCGGCGCTTACGATGATGCAGAAGCATGGCCAAGCTTATTTGATGATTTTGTAGAGTATGAAAATGACCAAATGAACCAAAACATCAGTAAAGATGATATCATGAAGGATGCTTCTATGAATAAGATTTAATTCGACAAAGGTTTTCATTATAGCAAGGTATTATTACCTTATATTTAATCTTCGAACAGAAATATTTAAATTTGTCATAATGAAACCATAAGAATATTCTTCCTCTTCGTTTCTTTGTTTTCTTCCTTTTTTATTTTTACATTGTACAATGTCAAGTCGAGGAGGGTTGTTAAATAATTGAAACAAAAATACTGTCCAAAGGATTTTATTCAGGGAGATATAAATGTGGAATTGTACACATCTAATGAACATTTTAGACAACAGAATTTCTATTATCTAAATTTGTGATACAATATGGATGAGTGTATGTAACTTTCAATACATTATGAATATTTCGTACACTTTTTAAAGATACCATTAAGAAAAAGAACAAATGTAAAAAAAGAACATAGAATATCTTTTATTCTAAAACAAATTTTAAAAAAGTGCGCCTGACAAATTGTTATTAGAATAAAATATATGGTATAATCTCGTTTAAAATTAATGTAAACGCACTCTTATAAAATAAGTTTGGTCAATAGCGATCATAGTCTATGATAATGTGTTAAATGGGCTTATGGTTTATTTATATTATGTTCCTATTTATTTTTTGTTTAATGTCAGTAATCAAAGCCTTAATTGTAATGAAAAACAGCACTTTAAATGTAACGAGATTGTTTAGATACATGTATATAGTGCCATGTCTTTCGAAAATACTAACAAATTATAAAAATTAATGGTAATTAATACATCATTAAACAAACGTATAACTCATTAATGTTTTAACAAACATTACATATTTATTTTTCTGTTTTAATTTCTGCAATTACAAGCTTCATTTTGTTTTATTTTATAGACCAATTGGTATTATGTTTATATCACAAAGTTTAATGTATATGATTTAGTATACTTTAATCTATATACTTAAGAACGCAACACTTAAAATGGAACCCAATAATTTAAAGACATAACTGTTATTTACACAGAGGATCTTCTTATAAATGATAACATAATATTAAACATAAAATACAATGAACATTCACTGACATTTCATTACATTATAAATAACATATAATTAGTTATTTGTATACAATTTTCATCTGATCTAGATTTGTTTATTAAATTATATAAATGCTATTAATATTCAGTATTCTTTTTATATTTGTATAATTGCAGTATTTATCACAAAAGGAAGTTTCTCTGTGTTCATGAAAAATATTACAGAGTTTGTAAGTATCAAAATTATACAAGTATGCATAACTTAAAATCAATACATAAATTTGTATTATTAATTTATTTCTGTGACTAAATGGGGGCTTAAATTTGTGATTAGAACAAGGTTATTAAAGAATGACCTTTCTGTATATTTATGTATTGGAAATGTGTTTTATTAAAAATATTCACTTTACTAGATATTCAAAATCAGTCTCAAAGTATATATAATATTACTTTATTTGTAAAAACGTATAATTAGGCGAAGAAATATAAAAGTATTCTTGTCAAAGAATAAAAATTATAATAACACAAAAAATTAAGCGAGTAATGTAAGTAAAAACTGAATGCTAAAATTTAATAGATACTTATGATAAAATCTGTATATTTTCCACAACTTGTAATAAATTGGATTTGATTGTATAATTAAAATACAAATAATGGAAGTAAGCTAATGCGTTTAAAGAGCTTAATAACATTAATGAATGTGTGTTTTCATATTTTTTATTGCAATCAATCATATGTAATCAAATGTACGTATCTTAAGAATAAGTTCTATCAATGATACTTTAATTTTTGACTAATTAGTAAAGTATCAATAATGTTATTATACTATAGGTGTATATATTATGTTGATGATTCAAAATTTGAGCACAGTTTTAATAATACATATATACATGTATTATAATATGTAATGCTATTGCATACTTTATTATTATGATAAAATTAAAAATTAAAATTCCACAGTAATAATTTATAATAGTGAGAAATATAACAAATTATTTCTTGGATCAAAAGTGTTTTTATAATTGATTAAACTTCATGATAAAACTTTGATTTCAGTTATAATATTTATGTAAATGAACATTATATTAATGTTTTTAAAGTGGAACCGACGTTTTATAACGGGAGACAATTCAGACATGTTTCAGATTAAGAAAATGCTTTTATATAAGTAAACTATTTCATGTAATCTACAGTCATAAATACGTATGTGATTGATACAATTTTTTATTATAAACTAATACAGTATGTTTATAATAAAAATTACAATATTAAAAATATTTTTTCAGAAATGCACATTATTGATTATCATAAATACATTATTTTTTATAAATTTAATACATAACATTTCACACTATTTTTGTAAATATTAATAATCTTAAAGAACGAAAATAAATTTTAATAACATCATAGAATTATTATGAAATTGTTATTTAATAATTAAATAATAAAAGCTTATTTGTTTTTCATTCAAAATATTTTTATACATCTAAACAGAACTATTCATTAAATAAAAATTACATTACATATAAAGAAAGACCGAAGGTTCCGTTACTAAAATTTTTATCCAAAGAATCAAGATTTAGATCGCGTTTAAAAAATTATCTCATACTTTCTAATTCTTGTGTTTTTATTATACGATTTATAACGTTATCGATGAAAGTATGCAATCAACCCTGTCATAACTTTGCATTAGAATCCTTTGACCTATTAGGTTTGTTTTGGATTCGATGTAAAATGAACGTAAACCTAACCGTAGGTGTACCACGCAAGCCTACGCTACGATACGCTTGGCTTCACAGGCGATCCACTTTTGAGAGAGATAACTACAGGCTAATTTACATATTTAGAGGAAATAAAAATGTTTGTGCGATCGTGAAGTCACTTAGAAAATTGCCTAACAAATTTCTTGTAATTTGCGTGGTTGGGAAACTACGGTAATTTTTATTTTAAAAATATGAATCCCGTAAACGAAGAAATTCATATTTCGAAGAACTGAAGATTTTTAAAATAAACTTACACTTGTTTTATTTGCGTTTTTACCTTCAGCGTTCTTGTCGAATTTAAAGATATAATATAGAAATAATATAAAAAATTGATATAGGTTATATGGCTAGCAAAATATACAAGTTTTCTTCCCTTATAAGAAAAATGGTCCATATCACTGCGAACCCTTAAAAACGTCAAGACACAGAGTAGTGTATCTGAAATAAGATTAGGATAATTAGTACAATTTTTGTTACGCTGAGCTGTCGAAATGTGATTGCAAAATAATCTAATTTTAAACGAACAGTCAAAACCTTTTAGATCGTGCAACATTAAGTGGATTGCGTGCAAACTAATCGTGTTGTTTCCTTCGATTCACATTCTTCGAAGGGTACTTTCTCACGATGTTCCATCGTGTCTACAAGTAATTACATTGCACGGAAACAAAAGCCCATAAAAATCTGAAGTTACAAAGAGAAATCAATCTCGTAGAATCGAAGTGGAGGAGAATTCGAACAAGTATTAATTTAATGTTTATTTAATCACCGAATGTCAAGCTTGACAGAAGTATTATTTTATGTCATCTTTTTCTCATCCATTAAAAGTTAACAAAAACAAGCGTGGTAATTGTCTTCAGATCAGAGACGATTCATTTCTTTCGAGCAAGAGTTTTCAATAACACTTAATATTCCAACTGTCACATAGTTTCTTTCGATCGCGTTTTTAGAACTTCACGGTATATCAAACATCTGTTACACACATACTACGAGTACCGCTAGATTCGAGCAAATCCATTCACTGCGAATATGTACCAGCAAACCAGGTTCTTCTATTTTGCTATTGCAAATAGTCGGTTAATAGGTGAATTTGCCGTTCCCGATATTTGGCGCGTCAGCCATATTTAAAGATCCAGGGTGAAATTATGTCACGACATTTGCTTCACGAGTGACATTCAGATTACAAAATTTTGAATACTTGAATAATTCGAAATTATTTTTTGCGAAATTTTGTGTTAAAATTTCTGAATACTCAAATATTTCAGTTTCAGAGAATTAAAATCAGGATAAGTAACTGAATTATTTCTCGATTTGATGCGTAGAGATCTTAGTGTGTCACATGTGTGTTATCAAGGATATTGAATATCATAGGGGTCCGCGCCGCAGTAATCGAATAACTGTGAAGCGGAAGATTAAAGGAAATTCTAAAGATTATAATTTCATGAGGTTAGTAATGCTTTCGTGTGGTATAAATTAGAAAATGAAATAGTATTTCAAATATGCAATTATAATATCGTACCTACTGTTTTCACTGCGTTTAAATTTTCTTGAGCCTCAATAAATTCATACAATGTTTAGAAATATTTTTAATCAAAGGGAGACAAATATTTTTAATCAAGGTAATAGTTTCTTCTTTCAAGAGACATGTTTGTCCTTTACCCTTTGAGCTTCTAAGAAAGACACGAGCCACTTAAAAATCAGGTCGTACAAATTTCATTTTATACAACAATGAGAAAGTCTTCATTACGTCTCCTTTAGGATGTCACATCAGAAATTAAATGAAAATGAAAAACCCTCGAGAAAGTCATGTTTACAAAGAGACTGATGTATATTCACTTTAATTATATCATTTTGAAGTCGGATTAAATTTCAACAAACTTTTATTTCGAAATTATTCGAACAATAATTCTGGGAACTTAGCCATAAAGATAGACATCAAACTGAAATCACAGCTGAGATGAACAAAAGGTGAAGAGACCCTCTCTTCTTCAAGGAAGTCGCCGAAAGTGTAACAGCAGGTTTCTCAGAGCTGCTGGCAATTCTGTAGATGAGAGTCCAGTCGTTAGTGCTTCGCAGCGGACCTCAAGGGATACATCTGGGGTCATCAGGTTCAGCAGACTTTATGGAAGGTGATCCAACTTTGTCAGTGTTTCTTTCGCCCTCTTTCAGTGCATCTAAGGATCCTAACTGTGAAGGTCGTGTCTATTTACTCGCCGAAAAAATTTAGTGTAAATAATCGTGGAATTTTTTGTGTTTATTCATAAATCGTATTTTTTAATATCACAGGTTTAGTGTTTTAAAATTTCGGCGAGAAATGAATCTCAGGAAGACATTGTATGGAAAGTCTTAAAAATGATTTTCTATGATTTAAACGGATCGTGATGAATTCAAGAACAAAATATTTGATTGAAGCTACGAATCTGACTGGATTATTGGAGATGTTGAAAAATCGTAGCTGACATTCAGTTGTTTCCGTATTTGGGAAAACGTGCTCGATGAGTCGTAAAAGGATCAACGTTATATTGATTCCTGATGTCTTCGATTGGAGGATCATTATCTTCCTTGTGATTGTTATTGCACTGCCTTGCTGCGAAAGTCGTGGTAGGTATAATCTACCTGTCAAATTTGCAAATTGATTGCTTAAAAACGTTGAAATTTACCAATATATATTTTAGTGCATACAAAGTTGCAAATTTAAAAATTAAAAATTTTTTAAATTTTCGATCAACACTTCGTGACAAATGATGCATGACAATGTTTGTTTACGGCAGAAATCGTATTAGAGAGAAAGCGAAAACGCAATGAACCGTCAAATTATAGTTTAACGTCGTTTAAACTGTTTTTAAATTTGATTAATAAGCAATTTCTTTTTGCTGAAATAATTACTATACGGAATTCTGTGCGGAAGTGTGCCTCGCCTTTATAGATCATGGTGCAGCGAGCGTGAAATGAAAGAGCACGCGCTTGAAAAATAGAAAAAAAATTTTCGAGCACAATTAGACATTAACCAGTAGACTGAAGAAGAGAAGTGGAATGTTAATCATAAATTTTTTCAGCAATTAGGAAAGCGATTTTTCTTTCTTATATTTCATATACTTTAAATTTAAATTCTTTTTATAAATTAAACAATACTTTTAATAAATAATGCTTTTTATAAATTTTAATGTACAGCCAGAAATATTCCAAGTACCCAAAAATTGACTGGAAATAAAATGTATAAATTATATAAAAGTAGACCATTAATTAATTATGTACAAAATGATTGGCAAAAAGGAAATCTTCATATAAAACAAAAATCATGGGATTCGGTATCTGGCCAACAACAGAAGGAAAACGTTTACATGCATGAATCCTTTTCTGTCAATGTTACACACAATGATACAAAGGAACTTTTGTAAGTTCATGATAAGAGTTTTATACTTATTTCAAAATATATTTTTCAATAAAATTATATGAAGATTTTTTCTCGATTGTTTTCTTCAAATAAAAATAATATTACATATTAAAAAGAACAGTACTTTGTTTCAGAGCGTACAGTGAACAAAATTTGTCACATAAAAGATTTAAACGTGGTGTGTTACATCTTTATAATATGGTAATTTGTGCCACTGGATGTAATCCTTTAGCTTACAAAGGATATGGATGTTACTGTGGTTTTTTGGGTTCAGGATATGCATTAGATGGAATAGATAGGCAAGCCATCTTTTAAATTATGTGTACACATAAAATAAAAATTCTTAACTATTTTTTACAATTTACAGATGTTGTAAAATGCATGACTGGTGCTATGATGCTACAGACTGTGCAATGTTTTCAGAATATTTTGTACCATATTATTGGAAATGTTATCACGGTTATAAACCCGTATGCGGTTTGTTGAATTCTATTCATGTTCTATATGAATTAAATTCATGTTGCGTTATTAATTCATATTTATTCAAAAATATATATTGTCGTTGTAGCTGTTGAACACGGAAACTGGGGAGGATCTGGTTCATGCGCTCAACGATTATGCGAATGTGATCGGTCATTTGCTGAATGTTTACGACGTTATCCTTGCCCGACAACCAAAGCTATGTGCACGTCGTCGCCTTGGAGATTGGTACAAAACCTTTTCATGATTATGTAATTGTTCATACAATGACAATGAAGGAAATTAATTTATAATTTGGTAATATTACGTTTAAATGCCAAAGATAGCAAGGATGTACATTAACACATATCGTAACATCTGTCGCAACGAAAGGTACAAATTGTATACCTATAAGACAATATATTTTAAAATAAAATGTTATTTATCTTTATTGCGTTATAACAGCAACATTTATTGCAATATAAAAAAAATATGTAATCAATTTTTTGTACAATACATAATACCGTCCACGCCCTTGTTTCGTAATAAAATCTTATTTACATTGAACAGGTTCTATTTTTATATTTTATTAATTATTTACAAAGCACTTATGCCTCCTGTTAAATGCACAACCCTGTTTTTATATTTCTTCGAAATATCTTTCTCTATCTGTAAATAAAAAAAATTTGGTAAACAAATATTGGATAGATAAATTCGGTAGAACATTGTGATAAATACCTCTGCTTGTAACTCTTTTGTCCTCTGGATTAGCAGTTGTAAAAGAGGTCGAACAGCGGCAGCTTGTTCTGCAGTAGCTTCCCGTTTCTCCCGCATATTCTTTTGTAGCGCTGTCATCTTTTCAATCAAGGTTAGTTTTTGTTTTAAGGATGAAGCTAATATATCTACGTATCTGTAAACATAAATATTTATTTTCTAAATAGTTCAAGATTTTTCACTTTTTCGATTAACTTGTAAAGAAACAGTTACTTCAATTACCTTGCAGAATGTTTGATATTGTGTAAGTGCTGGACTTTAGTATCTAAAATTTCAGACAAAACAACTTGAACATTATCCAACATATTTTGAGTACTTTCTAATGTAGAATGCTGTAGAATAGAAGACGAGTCTTGTAACTGACTGAAGCTCAAGAAATTTATACTGTCATTTCCTTTAAACTCGTACAAACGCAATTTAAGGAATGCTTCCAACTAGAAATGAACAAAATTCCAACTTAGTGACCATGAGAAATTGCACATATAAACTTCAGTAAATGAGAGGTGCATATACCTCAAATAACTGATTAATAAAATCATTTCTAGTAGCTGGATTATCAAGAACTCTATATGCTTCAGTACCAGCAGCAGTACCACCTTCATGGCCAGCTGCTTCTACAACTATACCAGATTCTTCTAAAGAAATATTGTAATCAATATCTCCTGGTGGAACCTCTTCCACATTTTCATCACCCCAATCAATGTCACCTCCAGCATCTAAGTTGACATCATCACCAAAATCTATGCCTCCATTTTCTATACCTCTATTTATATCAATTTCTCCAAAATCGATTCCCTAAATTGATTTTCATAATGTATAAATAAGCTAGTCAAAATATGATTTACTATATTTTATAAGTGTACACATACAACATTCTCAACATTGTCAACTTCCTTTTTGTCTGAATCATCATCAAAACTTATATTTAATGGTGGCTCACTTATTGATAATGGTGGTTCTCCATACATCCATTCATATGTAGTAGTATTGCCTTTGTCTGTTTATAATGTTTAATATAATATGTGGAATAATTTTATAAACAAAACTTTGCACTAAGATACTAACTTACCAATAACATATTTCACCATTGGAACACAACCACCATCATGTTGTCTACCAAGAGTATAATTAACAAAACTACAATAAAATTCAACAGCTTTTTCTAGAGATTTAGCTTTTTTTGCAATCTTTTCATACATTTCAGGAAGTTCTTTTACTTTCTCTGCTAATTCTTGTTTGATTTGTTGACCAGGAACATCTAATTGTTTACACAGAGCATTAAATTCTGACCTAGCTGTGTTTTCTGACTTTTTATAATCTGCTTCTTTTTTTTCTAAATCCTGCCATTATGTATATAATTATTATTAGTGAAATAGTAATAAATAATGTATATTCTATAAATACTTACAACTTGCATTTGCTCTAGTTTTTGAATTTGTTTTTTAGTACTTGGAATTTCATAATTAACATTCCTTATAAGCATTTGTGCTACTTCTGCAAGATATACATTATCTTTTTCATATAAATTTAATATTTCTTGCCAGTCTTTCATTCTTTGAGACCCATACCTTCCAAATAAATTTTTGGTATCAGCTTCAGTTTCTTTTAAAATGTCTACTATTTTTAAACAGTGGAAATAATTTATGTCTGAAAAATCAATTTGACATTTCATAAGAAACAGTCTGATAAATACATTTTCAATCATTGTTCTTAACATTTACATTTTATCTCAATATATCTCTACTATAAAATAACTTTGACTTACATGAACCAGATAATAATTTTGCAATTCCCTCATGGACAGGCATATCTTGTATTGCATTATTAATTTTTTCTCTAATTATTAATATTTTTGAATGCCAATCTTTGCTGCAATGCCGCCTATTAATTAGCCATTCCAATAATTTTCCAGTGTTGATATCAATAGGAATATTTTGTTCCTAAATAACACATAGCATTAATTAAATTTGCTTAAATACTGTTAATAAACAAAAAATTTTACAGAAATTTTTTTTTTAATCACTTGAGGCATGCCTCAAACTTATGTATAAATTTAACAGAAATATAATCCATATAATAAAATATGTATATAATTGAAAATTTACATGTATTAAAGGTGTTTTATAATTTACAAAATCAAGTACAACAATAAATTTTAATGTTTAAAAATTTACCTCCATGTCTACAGCTGTTTTATAGAATTTGTTTATGTGTTACTTCTGAGAGGTTATAACAGCTGTTACGTTTTGTATCTGAAGTGGATACAACGATAAAGTTAAAACACCGGCTGTCTTAACGACACAAGTTACGTATTTCCGTTTATAAAAAAAATTCATTGAAGATATAAACAATGTATATATACTTCAATGGTTGTTAAGCTATGTATTAAAACACATATAATTTATTATGATTAAAATGATAAAAGTCAGAAAGGATAAAATAATTGAGACTACTGATACACACGAAAGTTTAATTTATTATATTACACATTCACAGTAAGAAAAATGTTTCCCATGACAACATTACACTATCAGTGTCAAAGTACGATTATAATTTGTAAGTTTATCATAAAAACAAATAACAATCCAATTATCCTCACATTCTCTATTACAGCTCATAATAGAACAGGTACCCATATTGAAATGTCCTATTCTTCATATAACTTAAATGATACACACATGAACACGCATACACAACATTCTCATATGCAAGAAAACTGTAGCAAGTTTCTTTTACTATAATTTTTCCGTCTGTTTGGGATTGTACTTCCACATTCAAAATGAGTATGGATATAACAACTGGCCAAAGTTATAACATGGCACCATGGTTGATAGCGTTTATGGAGCATTAAACGTAATACCGTTTCACGTTACTCAGACGGATTAGTTACTTTATTGTGAACAAAGTAAACAGTATGATTCGCAAATGCACTAATGAATAGGCTAATGTTTTCGTTCTGTGAAAAAGGTTTTTAAAATAAACACCTCCCCCACAGATATGACTATAATTGTAATCATTTCTACAATAGACCATCCAAGTACATGTGTATTCAAATCCTCTGCACGTTTACGACCTTGTGCTTCTCTTAATCGATGATGTGTTTGATAATCCAAGATACTATTCAAATTTTTAAATACTGTTTCTGCAGAGGATTCCATCTGAAAAGAAATATTTGTTTTATACATATATGATTTACTCTGCACACTAATAATATGTAAGGCTTAGGTCTTAAAAGTTTTAAACCACAGTCTTTTCACTCTATTATTAATTAGCTGTAACTAGCTGTTACCTGAGTCATAACAGTAGCATGTTCACCAAGTCCAGCAAGTGGCAATTGTTCACCGACTCGAAAGTCCATATACACAAGCTTATGGGAAAATGTTGAAAATTCATTGCTAAAGCAGGCTTGGTAAGCTCCTGTTATTGGTGCTGTGAATTGATGCGAATCAAACTGTGTTTTTATTTGATGATAAATGACTTTTTTATTTGGAGCTTCTAAAATTACATCTACATCGTATTGTCCACCAGTCACAACCTAAAACAAATATTTAACTTGAAATAATTCTTTCTGTGTTATCTATGAAGATGGATGTTACAGGAATAATTTAAATATTGATGTTATAATAAATTTATATATTTGATTTCTAATGCAGAACTGATAACACTTACAATGTCATAACTTTGCTTTGTAAAGAACTGTTACTGAAAATGCTTTTATTTAACAAAGTATGATTATATGTACCTGAAATTCAAGCATTGCCGTTGCATTTTGCTCAATATCCTGAAAGAAACACTGTTTCGCATTGTCAGGCAGTTCAAAGGTTAGCTCAACGCCACCAGTGCGTAATATTGTACCAAACAGCGAAAGAAATAACAAGCAAACTGACCAGTAGTTCATTTTTTAAATTAGTTCCTTATATTTATTGCGTGTTCACTACTCTACAAACATTTAATTTCAAAAGATTTTATGAGTCACAATATCCAATTAGCCGATCAAGGCTGCAGTTAAATATTCTAACCAAACAATTTTAACGTGGCCGGATATTGCTCGCGTTAACACGACAAGAGCGCCACTCAAACGGAATTGACTACAGTGACGTCCAAATCTAAAAATTATTTTATATATTAGTTATTATAAAAAATATAATATTTCAAGAAAATTTAATATACCTAATTCTACTAATGAATCCAAAGAAAGCCTCAGTGTCATGAAGCAATTTTGAAAAAAAATGTATCTGAACATTACACAGCGATATGCAACTTTAGAATTTTGACACTTTGATTTCAAAATTTTTGAAACTCGACCTTTGAGGTTTTGAAATTCTAGAATCCCGGAATTTTTAAACTTTAGAAAATTTAGAATTTTGGGGTGTTAGAACAAAATTCTATTATAGAATAAAAACATGTATTTAACATTATTTTGCACATTATTTTATTTTTAATATTTCCGGATTCACTAATAAATATATAGACAATTTTTGTCACGTGTTTTGTCGCGCAGGAGGAATATATACGATAATGAGTATGCAAAATCGTTAATTACTCACTTTCTGAGCACAATCTATGAACTTTTATGATTAAAGAATGGTTCTATGAACTTTTATGATTAACTTTCTGAGCACAATCTATGAACTTTTATGATTAAAGAATGGTCAGTAATGCATTATTTACATGCTTCGATCATAAAAGTTCATAAATAATGTTCGGGTAATGAGTAATTAATTATTTCGTGTCAGCATTGCGATACGTATATGAGCCGCCAATGTCAATTCCACTGGGCATGCAAAGTGTAATATTTCGGCGCTTTGACGACGTAGTATGGTTCCTGAGGCATTTAGAAACAAATTTCTATTAGGGTTTGATGCGTTTTGATGAGTAATAAAGCCAGAAAATCAATTTTTGTCGAATTTGGTCCAAAACGGTACAGGTGGCGCCATCTAGCGGCGAGCGGCGGAACTACGAAAAACTAAAATTTCGATTTTCTCAAAAACTAGGGCCTTTTTTGAAATTTTGAGATATACAAATTGTTCCTTGTCGCCTACGGAATCGAACGAATATAATTATAGCCTGCTAGGGCCATTATTAAGGAAAATAGAAAAATAGCCCAATTCATGGACTAAAAAATTGGCGTCCATCTAGCGGTGAAAGTTGGAACTACAAAAATAGAAAATCTCGATTTTCTCGAAAATTAGTGAACTTTGAGTACTTCTGAGGCTCAGAAAGTGCTATGTGATCGCATTAGAAACAAAATAATGCAATAAAAGCTTCCTAAAAGCTTTAATAAAGAAAATAAAAAAAATGTCTTTTTATGGAGAAAATTTGTGGCGCCATCTAGCGGCGAAACTGCGAAATAATTTAAAAAAACGTATGTCCGAACACGCAGTAAAAGGGTCAAAGGAAAATTGATTTTCTGGGCTTAATAGGTAAAAGAATGAATAGCTTATTCAACAAAAATTGCTTTAAAATATCTGAAGAAACATACTAGGCCGTCAAAGTTGCGAAATATTAGTTTTTATATATTTCCTTAACGCGTGTTCGGACATACGTTTTTTAATTTAGTTCGCAGTTTCGCCGCTAGATGGCGCCACAAATTTTCTCCATAAAAAGACATTTTTTTTATTTTCTTTATTAAAGCTTTTAGGAAGCTTTTATTGCATTATTTTGTTTCTAATGCGATCACATAGCACTTTCTGAGCCTCAGAAGTACTCAAAGTTCACTAATTTTCGAGAAAATCG